TTTGTTTCTTTGGATTTTGCCTGATCTATACACAAGGAGTGGTCCTAAAATTCTAGAAATATATGTGGAGGGAAAAAGGAGATTTGAATACAAAAAAGAACTGGTACCCACAAAGGCAATGACAGGATTTGTAGCTTATGTTGGATGAAACGGTTTCTTTCAATTTTTTCTTCCTATAGAATAGGAATGCTAAAAAGTGGACTGACAGGATTGCTATGGAACATGCTAAACATCGCCTTCTATTTTTGAATGGAAGAATTATAATTCTTTTTTGAATTATCAGTAACATCTACATGATGTATTCAGAGACCTAAAAGGTTTTGTGACTGTTTTGTCTGAAGGAAGTTGGTGTAACCACCACATGCAGGAGCACATGAAACCTTTAATCAACCAGTAAGAATATAAAACAATAAAAGAGTGTGCTTTTGATGATAAATCATCTTCAAGGCTGTGCATCAAGTTCTTGTGGGCAGTTCCAAAGTTATGCACTGTTTTTAATGTTCCAAATTCAATGTTGTGGCCCCCGGCGGGGCTCTACTCTCCCCCCCCAGCCGCTCCCCCCCCCCCCCAGTTTCCAACTAGGCTCTCTGAATTAATCGGCAGACTTCCTGCTTGTCATCCCTGGGGCCATTTTCCTTTCACATTTCTATTCCTACCCAGGCACCTAAATGTTGTGTGCTAGCTAGTCAGATTGATAAGGAGCCCTGGCGAACTCGAAAGCTTGTTGTGGCCTTTCAGTTATTCCAGATAAAGGTTCTTGCCGGCTCTGCCTAGGGGTGATGGTTTACAAAGGCAGAGCTTCAGGCTTTTTCTTCCTCTCCTCCCAGAAACAGCCCTCTTTCTCGGGAGGAGAGCGAGAGGAAGGGAGGGAGGTTGGCGCAATCGCGGTAGATACGCGCACGTCCGGGCCCGCGTCGAGCCCTCCAGCCTGTAGGTGGTGGTGGCGGCAGCAGCAGCATCCGCGGCAGCATCCGCCAGCGGGGCCTGTGTGCGTGTGTGCGCGCTGGGCTTCCTTTCCTGCTCGCTACCTTCGGGGGGGCTCCTCGGCCGAAAG